AAGAGAAGTTTCTAGGAGGACCAACAGATCCTTACGCAGTATACTGCAGTGTGAACGAGCGTTGATTCAGGAAGGCCGTCCCAGAGGGACCACAGAGCGACAAGACCGCCGGTTAAGACTTCTGGCTCTGAGAGACGGATTCAGTAGTCATCGCTAATCAGGATGATTGGTATGCGGTATATCGCCGAATACGACAGTTTGGCCTTTTTTCTTAACGCCCCATTGGGTGATACCCCTCACAGCTGAACATCGGCATAACCGTTTGCTCTAGTGTAGGGAAAGGATTCTATGGGACAGGTGGTCTTTAGTGACAAATCCCGTACATACGTAGGTGTTTACCTTTTTTTGTCACTCAGTATATATAGCAGCACAGACATCACGAAGAAATTTAGAAATAGTTCATCTTGGTACTCGATAAAAACTCTGTAGGAAAGTAAAGGAATCTCTGCAGCCAAGCACCTTGACGTAATTTCTAACTTAATATTTACTGGTATAACTACCCTCATTTTTGTATCTTTTTTCTGTATGCACTCTTTCACATGATCTAACAATTCGTCAAATTTACTTTTTGAAATACGGAGGACGTTCCTATAGATATTTTTGTCTTCCCTCGCCAATTCATCTAATAGTCTTGTGATTGCAACCTTCTTGATACCCAACTGCTTTCCCAACATGACCTTCGTTTTCTCCTCTACATTTTTTATAGTAACTCGTTTGCTTCTTCAAAAAGCTCATCGCATATAACAATGTCTGTAACTCTCACTACAGCCCGAACGGCTTCTATATAATCCGCCATTGCGCACTAGATGAAGAACTGCACTGACTGGACGTTAAGCAAGTTTTCCTTGCAAAGGTAGTTTTGTAGTGTAAACCTTAACTTGAATGCAAGTACAGTTTTCATCAACTTGCATGTCCTACTTACCCAAGCGGTACATGCTAGTGTAAACGCCCCTTAACGCTTGGCTAAGTCGTACTTGTTTACGCTGGAAAGATTGCTGTTTTTATACGTGTACGTCGATTTTTACAACACAGCCGAATCTGTATTTTTGAATATCATATACGGAGCTAAGCTAGCGATAGGATTATTTTAATGAAATACTAAAAATTACTAAAATATATGTATGTTTAAATGTACATAGGATGGGCAAACGTTCTAAGATAATTTGTAGTGGAATAAGACCTTGTGAGTCACACATTTTGAATTCGTCGTTAGACAATAAAAATTGTATTACCGACAAAAAAACAGTTTTAAAGTACTTTTTTAGCTTCATATAGTATTCGAGTTGTTTTAGCAGGAAATAGGGTTAGTTTTATATAGCTTAATCATATTTTTCATTGGATATTATTGAAATTACACTTGAATAGTGACTTACTAAACTGCCACATATTTTAGTTATGCATGTTCAAATATTTTTAAGGTACATAGGGGCAACCCGGAACAGCTGGGAAAATCGAATTTCCCGTTTTATATCCATATCATGAATCGAGCATCGTGATAAATCAAATACTTATTCATTCACCCTATTAGTATAATCATATTAGCAAATTTCCTCAAGATAAGGGAGTATTTAAAACATGGACGCATAAAATGGGTACACCAATTTTTGTGGGAAAACTTTTTATTCGACACAACAAAGAATGAGATAACGTGTTTTTAGGGATTCATTCGAAAGTGTGGTCAGAAACCAAAAAACTCATCAAATAAAATTTTTAAGTATTTATGAGACATTCAGAATAAGACCACACGAAGAAAGATCCGACCAATAGTAAAAAAGTTCTGGCCGAGAACCGAAGCAAAATGTAGGTTATGGCTCTTGTTGCTAATGCGACGATAACTTCACGCAGCTACCTGAAATTCTTCAAATACGTAGGCTTGATACTTCTAAATAACCACAACGAAATTGGAGTCGTTTGTTCGAGTAGTTTTTGAGAATTTCTAATTGTTTATCCCAAAACACCTGCCTTTCGGCCATCACTACTAGTTCACTGAGCAATATACAGGGTTCGTCCAAAGGGCATTTTATAGCGAAATACACGAGTTTACCTCGCCGGCATGAATCACAAACCATTCCGAAAAATACGTAATCGTTATTTTTATGCGAAAAACGAAGGGGATAAACAATTACGGATTCCCAAAAAATACTTGACCAATCGAATCCAATTTTTTGTCGTTATTTAGAAGTATATGTTACATTGTATGTTTTTCTTTGTGCGCAAAATAATAACATGTTAGATTTTTGTGGGTTAATAAGTAGATTGTGATCTAAAGAGTATATAATTAATTTACGAACATCGTTTTGTAAAATTTGAGTAGTATTATTGACATCAGCTGGGTTAAAATAATGGCACAATTGCTCAAGTCGAACGTATATATGAGGAACAGAGGCGGTCCCAATACAGAGCCTTGAGGTACGCCTGAGGGAATTATTGTCACTTGAGACATTTCTTGACTGAGAAAAACACTCTGAGTTCTTTGATGAAGGTAACTGTCGAAAAATGAAAGGGATACATTGTCAAGACCTATGTAATTTAATTTAGCAAGTAATAATTTATGATTGATGCTGTCAAAGGCTTTCGAATAGTCTATAGAGATTAACGCTCGTGCCAGTTTCTTATCTAAGGCACTTAAAATATTGTCTTGCAGATTGAGTAGGACAGATGTTGTACTATAATTTTTTGTGAAACCAGATTGAGTGTCGGGAAGTATAAAGAATTTTTCTAGGTAAGTGGTCAATTGGAACTTTATAATTTTTTCTAAAATTTTGGATAAAATCGGTAATAAGCTGATAGGTCTGAGATCATTATACTCAGTGGGTTTCATTTTTTAGGAATTAATTAGAGCTTATTTCCATGTGTTTGGAAAGTAGCCTTTTTCCAAACAGTCGTTAAAGATGTGGACGATGTGACGGAGAATAATTGGCAGGCAAAGCTGGATCATTGACAGAGATATACCATCAATTCCCTTCGCATCACATTTTAGGCTCCCTATTGCCTGTAATACGTCATTTGAGCTAATCTGATTAAATGAAAAGATATGTTCAGAGCTTAATTTATTTTTGAAATAGTTCTCGCAAACTAGTGAATCGGCAGGTTTGTAGCTGCTCGTATAAACAGACATGAAATAATCATTAATTTTGGTAGGGTCATTAAAACCTGCTGGAAGGGTTGGTTTACTACGAAAATTTATATCAAGTTGTTTGAGAGACTTCCACAATTTTTTTGAATCATTTTCATTTGCCAAGTTTTCGATAAATGTCTTTTTGTCCCTCCTGATCATGTTAAGAGCACGGTTTCTAAGCAATTTGAAGTTATTATAGGTGTCCACGGTCTTATTAGCTTTATATAAAGCTTGTGCAGTATTATTTTCATCAAGAACAGTGCGCAGTTCATTAGTTAACCAAGGTGATGGTGGCTTATTAACTCTTACAGTTTTAACAGGTGCATGTTTATTATAGGTTTCCACGATAACGCTTGTAATGTGCATTACCTTCTCATCAATATTAGATTTCGTAAATAATTCGTCTAGCCCGATGTAGAAAGATCGATAAGAAAATGATCGTCAATGAAATGTTTAAAATCCCTGATTGTGATAAGTTTTTGTTTTCTTTTATAAGATGGAATATCAAAATGAAAAAATACGTGTTTGTGGTCCGAAATACCATTCGTGACCATGACGGAAGAATAGCTGCATGTTTGAGGATTATTTAAAAATATTGGATCGATTAATGTTGCAGTACTATCTGTGACACGGGTGGCTTCCGTTACGATTTGTGTGAACCCGATCATCTCAAAACTCAGTGAGAATATAATGCATAAAACGTAGTAGATGCTATTACTTCACTAAAAAGTATCTACTTTGTAGCATCCTCTTTTCCATAGAAGTATGTGCTTTATCTGAGAAGAATATACTGTACTGTATGGTACAACAGAAGTACCTACTACTAACCTGAAGTATCTACTACTAAGCGCCTAAGAGGCGGCACGCGCCGCGGCTGTGTGATCGTGTTAATCACATCAATCGTTTTTCATCTGCCTGTACATTCACAATACATATTTACTACGTACATTATTAGCATTTCGTCTCAAGTAAAAATGAGTGACTCGTCAGATTCCGATGCGACAAAAGAGTTAGTTCAGGATAGAAATGAAAAATTGTTATTTGTTAATATTCTTGAGTATTATCAAATTTTGTTTGATAAATGAATGACACCAAAATTCAAGAATGAAAAAGAAGATGCACTGAAGAAATTAACTGCTGCCTTCAATGAAATAACAAGAAAAAAACTGGATGCAAAACAGATTTTGAAAAAATTTAATAACATGAAAACCAAAGTTAAAAAAATTGTTGACGTGAAACAAACTGGTAACAAAAAAATCGTACTGACTGAGTGGCAAAGAAAATTCTATGATTTATGAAACGTCGGATACAATCCAGTCTTACACAGGGTACCAGGCGCGTGTCAGGCCGGTGTAGTAGATGAGGGGTTTCACTAGAAAAAAAGTATATGAGTTCCTTAGTTCCAAATCTGGTTCCGGACAATTTACAGCCGGAACACTTAAAAATCCTAATGCGAAAGAGGATTCACTGATTCAGCTACAGAAGAATTGCTTACGAAAACAAATTGAAGCAGCCGAAGCTCAAATTTATTGTGCTCGAGTTCAACAGTCTTCGGCGGCAGCTGAAGAACGGGCCGCGATTGCATTAGTGAAGTTTGCCGAAGCTGGTGAGCAGTTAGTCAACCATATAATTGAGCGTGACATGTTACAGAGACAAAATAAGTTTGTATTTATAAATGTTATAATATATATATAGTCATAATAATAAATGTTAAGAGTTATCAATTCATTTTGTTAAAAGGTTGTACTAAATAAATATGTTATTAAGTTGTATCTTTTGAATATATTAATTACTAATTGAAAATAAAACCAAATACCACATAACATAATTTACTTTTAACACTTGTTTGTTATTAGACGACCCTGTGCATAATGATATTATATTAGTTGACATCACGAAATATAGCCAGCGCAACGTCGTTTCTACGTTGTGTGCCTCGATTACGAATTTGTGGTTGATTACCCTCAGGTATCAGTTCAATCGCATCTTGTACTTCCATCTGAACTGGATCAAAATCATGGTATGGATCTTGCAAATGTTTAGATATGTTATGAAGTACAAATGCACTCACAATATGTTTTGGAATGTTTTCAATTTTTAGGCGAAATGTATACTGGAGCATTGGAAAACGCCGTTTCAACTGACCAAAGCAGCGTTCTATGACACAACGTTCCTTCGCATGGATTAAATTATAATTTTCTTGAATAGGTGTGGTTGGATTTTTAAATGGTGTCAACAACCACGGTGCAGTACCGTATCCTTCATCACCTAACAAGGCTGCTCCTTGCACATTATTATACATAATTCGATGCACCAGGGAGTTTCGCCAAATTCGACTAACGTGGACGGAGCCTGGCCAAGTCGCATCGACACTGGTAAAGATTTCTTTGGCGTTACAAGTAGCTTGTACATTTTTTATTGAACATATCCCTTTTATATTCACATATTCATCACCATGAATTCGTGGCTTTGTTATTTTACCGTGAGTGCAATCAATAGCACCTATGACACTGGGCATTCGCTTGGTACTTGCCCACTCATTGATAGCAACTCCAAGTAAATCGTTAGTATTAGGAAATGTTATCCAGTTATTTCTCTTGGAACAAATTGCTTCAGATACAGTAATCAGGGTTCTGGATACAGTACTTTGGTTTACATCTAAATCAACAGCAACTCCTTGCTGAAATCCAGGATCTCCTGAAAATTTATATTTATATTTTTTAAATTTTAGAATTACTTTCCTATATTAACCTAAACTTCTCATATCTCCATTTTTCGAGTAGGTGACAAGGCTCCACCTCTTGTTTCTACGGGATCCTCATTATCGTCAAGAAAATGGTTTGCAAGCCACTCTACATTTTCTCTATTAAACCTTAAACAAAAAATTATGAAAGTAACTTGTTTTTATATTAATAATAATTACATAACCATAAAACTGATAATTACCTAAATAATTTACGATAAATATCATCGTTGTATATCCTCGCTTATTTGTAAACTTTTCTGCGACGCACATTCATGAATGCTGCCATTTTCCAAAAAGAAAAATACTGAATTTGCGGTAGCCGAAGTTGCTCATACACTAACTTCACTTAAACTGGAGCAAATACTACTAAGTCACCAAATACTTCTAAAGCGTAGTATATTCTTCTATGTATCTCATACATAGTAGCATATGCTATGGAGGAAAGTAAATGCTTTGTTAGTGTAGTTAAAACTTCAAAAATGTAGTACATACTTGAAGCATTAGCATCTACTACGTTTTATGCATTCCACCCATTGTTATTAAACAAATCTATATCCCCAATATCACGATGTTATGATGATATAACGAAAGGCTGGGTAGGAAACCATTTAATAAATCTGCATATTGTTGTATGTTTTGAGAGGGTCGCCGGTACAAAAGACGTACTAACAGTTCACACTTACCCGCAACCAATTTAACCCAAATGCTTTCGAAATAATCACCAAAATCTGTATGAATATCTACCTTTTCGGCATGTAAGATTCTCTATCACAACGCAAGAAACAATAGTTGCTAATATTAACCACATCATCAGTAATATTTTCATTTAGCCACGTCTCTGTAACAGCGAATACATCAAAATTTTCTAATGCTGTTAAACTTACAATAGCATCAAAACTAGACATGAGGGAACGTACATTCAAGTGTCCGATTGCATTTTACTACCAGCCATTAAGAGTATTTGAATCGTACATAATTTAGAAAAGATTTTGAGTATTCTAAATAATTCTAAAATGATCAAAATAAAATTCGTGAAAGATGTCTTTGTTGAAAGAATTCATACACTGGGCAATTTTTGTCTGTCGGAAGATGATCGGTACTGTAAGTTTTTTATACTGGTGATTTGAATACAAACAGTTGGAACATTTCGAATGTGCCTGCTTACAAAAGGAGGTGTCATGGTTTTCTCCATACTGAGCACAGACTTTAGGATTTTGGCATTTTTTTCCAGAATGATTAAATCGGAAACAATTTGTGCACTGAGACACTTCATTATTTTTGTATACATATACATTTTGAAATCCTAATAGAATTTTTCCATTATAATCTTCAAAAATCTGTTTAAATAAATTACCTGTGACCTCTGCGTAAATAATATAATTTTTTTTGTGCAATATACTTGATAAAATTTATCTTAATACCTTCTTTTTCTATGAAATGGTTCTGTCTTGTGATGTCTTCTAATACCTCTTCTTCGGTAATTCGTTCATCTGTATGGTAGCCCACGAATTTGATCTTAGGTCTAAACATTTTCGGTTCAGACACCTGGTACGATGCTGACAATTTTTTCTGAATTTCTTCCTTTAACTGGGCATGATTACTTTCGTGGACCTTAATTTCCATACCACCGTTTCTAAAATTCTTCACGTCGTCAATTTTGATTTGAGGTTTAGACAAGCTTAAGTTTTTGTCTAGATCTTTACGCGTCTTGAGGCTTGTTTGTTGCTGGCTTGGTATAATCACTATGCTTTTCTTTCCTTGTTTTTTGTAGCATAGGTCTTTTTTACAATTTGCGAATACGAAGTGCCTGTCATACTTGATTTTTCCATTATGTCAATTCTGGTATTCAGATTCTTGAGCGCGTCAACCACAGTTTCTTTTTCAGTAACATTTTTTGTCGACAATAAATTCAACTGATCTTGAAATCTAGCGTTCTCATTTACAAGTTGCTCAATGAATCTATCTTTTTCTATTAATAACTGACTTTATGAATTAACTTTTTCACATAATATTTTTATTTCCTGTTTTAGCTCCTCATTTGTTGTTCTAAGGCACTTACTGTTTTTAGGTGTTTCCGTTGGTGCATCACTTGGTTTGGTTAACACCATTTTAGCACTCTCAGACTTAGCTGAAGCAATCTCAGCAGTTTTCTTTTTTTTTCTTATTCATGGAGTACCCAGTATGGTCGTATCACTTTATTCTAGTCTAGATGATTGATGTCAAATAGTTTGTCAAAATCCTTCGCTGTATTGGCCGAAAAAATATTTGTCACTGGGCAATCTGTTATCCTCCAAGAATATCAACGGAGCTGCACCCCAACAATAGTTGCAGTAGGGAGTATCACAATATTTCAACAGTTTTCTCGAAGTATACGCGGATTCAGTGCAATAAGGCAAGTCAAAATGAAAAGTCAAAAACTTCAATATGTCATTTCCACTTTTGCAATCCTTCTGTGACATGTTTGAAAGCTAGAGATTCTTTTGTGTGCCGCTACAGGTAAGAGTTTAAATGAAATGCATCTTATTTTTTTATTTAATTGATCATAATAGTAACAGTCAACTTTGGTATTACATTCTAAGCCACATAATATACAAATGTATCAATCAGAGTATATATAACATGATAAGGTCGAGTAAGTAGGTCCAATGAGTTTGATACATTTTTTACATAAATACAATATTTTACAAAACGCTATATTTACACAAATAAAAAGTTAACATGAATGTTACTCAAATTTAATTAACAAACTCCCAATACATGTTATTGTATACATATTTCAAAATACCAATTGAAGAGTGAACAATTATTGTTCCAAAGGAATAAGTGTAAGTTGTTTTACGTCTCGAACTTTGTGCTTTATCATGACTTAAATGGATTTAGGCCACTATACTAAAACATGTTCAACACTGATGCGCACCATATGAATTCAAATATACTTACATCTTTGGACGTTGCTTTGATTAAAATAAAGTTCATACAGCTCAACACATACAAGTATAATGTTACCAAAACCGAAATTGGTATATATACACGACTTTTCGACTTTAATATTTAATTGTACATGTACAAATGTACGTAAGCAATAAAATATATTTGAACTCTTAGCAAAACTAGACTAGATTTTTCACAGATTATCATAGTATAAACATAAACAATATTGTAAAGTGAAACCTAATGAGTTCTACATTTTTCTGGTACATTTTCCCCTGTAACGTTTTTGATGGAATATTTTTAGTAGTAGAAGAAGTAGAAATGATATAATTTTACGTTAGAATATGAGTGCTTGCTTAGTTTTCATCATAAAATCAGGCATTCACTTAAGTATAAATATATTTTTCTAAAAGTTCCTCAAAAGGTGTTTGCGCAGTTAATTCACCTACAAAGAAATCGAATCGCAAATACCTGAATTCACAAATATAAATGATGTCGACTCATCTACGCTACAACAATTTTCTGTACGTTTCTGGATCAAGAAATAATTTTCTAAATGATTTAGAAAAAGCATGCATATAATTGGCATAGGCCACACTATATCTGTACTAATGTATGTTATATAGTAATGTTGATTAAACAAAATTTGAAAATGATCCAATTTACATAGAAACAGAAATACAATCACAATCATAACCCAGTGCCAAGAACCGGCTGAGTACGTTAGACCAAATTTTTTGATAAGGAAGAACAACTGCTTGCACTAACACTAAAGTGGAGAACAAATTAACTACAAGAAAAAACCTAGAACCCTTTGGGACTTTGGGATCCTTCCCTGTAAAAATCCTAATGAAGCTAAAGACGCAACATTTAAAAAATGCGTGTAACTCAATTTCGATGAAAATTAAACTAGCTAGATCTTGCATTGGATTAAATTTCATGAAGTGCCATATTTTTTGGGTTATGCTTTGCAAACATGAAAGTTGAGAAGTTGTCTTCTAGGAATATATGATAAAATCATGATTGCATTGCCTCACTCTACAACACGAAGGCTAAGCTTTACTATAAACTATATTTACATATCACAAGTTGCTTTTGCTAGCTCACTTATCATACTTAATATTAAATCTAGATATTCCCACTCATTTAGGCCTATATAAACAAATTCGTTATAACATAAAAAACAAGAAAATAAATAATAAAAATGTTCTTAATGTCTGAAAAATATCATTTAAATTATCATATACATCCCCGTATGCCGTGGTTACGGTACGTTTTTAACAGTCCTTGTCTATCGAGGAGCCAATAGAACCAATATATCTAGATTTTCAAAAAGAATTGTATAGATGCATTTTACAATGGAGATATATTCTTCAGAGCAAAGAAAAAGGCTCCCATCTGAAAATACAAAAAATGTTGATGGGTAACTTTTTTTGTTAAACATTGAAGCTAAAAAAATATTTTTTCGCATATATTCAAAAAACAAGGAATTATTGGTTAAATTAGTTAACAGAATAGTTGTAGAGACTTTCTAAGTGACACCTAAAGTTTAATATGCTCGAACAATTGTGACAATTATTGCGAAAAAAACGATTTCCAAATTTATTTGTTACGGGAAAACAAAACTGCTCAACAGTATCTGCAAATTTATAATTGTCACTCAGCTTCTTGAAATGTTTGCGACCTCTCTAGCAACAGATTCTACAGAATGTTTTAAATACAATACACAAAGAACTAATTTTGCCTCTTCGGCGTTTGACGAAAACTCAGCAAAAGCTAGTGTATCCCTAGATGGGGGACCTTTTGTTTGACTCCAAGAATATAATTTCTTTGTAAAGCAGGGCCCAATTTTTACTACCTAGAACTAGAAAGTGAGTAACCGACTGGAGAATCATAACAGATTTAGCATATATACACTTTTCAAACACCCTAAACAGTCAAATATTGTTGTCCTAATCATCTTTAACGATGACGGTACTTTCATCCATGGCTGCAGGGTTTTCACCCTTGGTGATACAATCTCTGATAGCCTTGAGGATGATTTCGACTCGTCGATCCAAGGCTACCAAATGGGGTTCCCATAGAATTGGGTTCACGGGATCTTTTTTCATACTGCGTCTCATTGCTTCGCTCAACTTTACCGGACCATTGTGGAACCTGTAAAAAATGAAAACATTAATCGACGAAAGCAATAGTCCAAACATTCAGCTTTTCAATGTTTGCCCCGTGTTTTAGAAGCACCCTGAAGAGATCAATTGTTTGAAGATTCCCACCATTATCCTTTTTATTCGTCATTGTCTGTCAGAGTGGTTCGTAGGACGTTTGCTCTTTATTTAAAGTATTTTAAGTCAGTAGGTCTGTCAGGTCTGGTTGCCCAGATACCAGACAAAGTCTGGGATAAAGGAGAGGAGAAAGAAAAGAAGGAAGGAGGGAGAGCAAGGAAAAAAGAAGTGCGTCAACTTGAGGGGTGCCTTGGCATCACTAGCTAGTGTTCTGGAATTTTAAAGTGATCCAAAAATTAATTTAGAGATTATAATTTTGCTTAGACAAGAAGTCGCACGATTTAATGTTATTCATAGTGCGAGCCGCGGCCTTGTGTGCTTGCGAACTTGCTCGACTTTGTTGATCAAACTTAGTTTTGAGGTTCTACTATAGCATAGGCTAGAGTTGCCGAAACGTGATTTTGAATTTAGTTTTTAACGATTCAGTGTGCATCTGCCTTTGTCAAGAGTGACACCGAGATACTTAGCAGAACCTTCCCATGGTAGCCGAACTCCGTTCACGAAAATCCCAGACGGGGCGCCGCTACGTTTTTTAGTACAGTGGCATCAGCATAGACATAGCTTTCACAGTTGCTGGGGCAAGGGACGTCATGTATAAAAAGTGAATAGAGGATTGGTACAAGAACAAAGCCTGAGGGACACCGCCTTTGACGGACCGTGTTGTCGACAAAATGTTATTAATTTTGATACGACATTTCCTACCCTGAAGAAAGGATTTTGAGAGAAGCAAGTTGCCAGTATTTTCGTTACGGGTGAATCCCCTGGATGCTCGTTCAACAAGCCTAACCGTCTGTAACTTCGTACTATGCTCAGACCGAAATCCAAATTGCACGTCAGGAATCACGCTGTGGTCTGACGAGAAAATTTCAAGATGACGTAGAACAGGAGACTAATGGGACGGCAATCCTGCAATGTCGAACCCACCTTCTTTGGAATTATTATAACAGCAGCGGTTTACCACACCGCTAGGAAGTATTTTATCCTGAGATGACATTGATTATTACCACGAGATAAGTTAAGGGCTTCCGCGAAAGCAGCTTCAGCGCCGTATTGGTGATTTGATTCTCTCCAGGTGCTTTATGTACCTTGAGGTCTTAAATATAATCTTGAAGCTCTGTTGGTGTGCAATGCGAAATCCCGGAGATTCCACTGTTGTGTCATGCAACTCTTCAGGTGAGGAATCTTCTGAAGTAGACTCCTCCAAGGAAAAATCACTAAAGGAGGCGCTACTACCACTGACGCCGTTAGTGCCAAAATATCTCCTGACAGATCTTATAATTTGTTGCTCTTCGTCGAGGTCATTAAGGTCATAGTTGGGAGAAAACTGCCTTTCCATAGCATCACCGAAAACCTCGATTTTTTCCTCTGTCCTAAAGACTATGCCTTCAGGACTGCGGTTGTGCGGGAGTAGTTGCTCTCGCTTTCCGTTTCTGAGCGACTTGCAACTTTCCAGAAATGAATACTTGAGTCAAGCAACCCCACCAGAAAGTCGCTCCATAGCTCATTACGGAATTCATGCAGAGCATTTCTCATTTCATGAGCCATCGTCAAATATTTTAATTCATAGGCTAATTATACAGTAAGCTTAGACTGTAAATAGAAAAGTCTGCTTTCAAGTCCTCAGTCCGACTCTGTTTCAAACTCCACAAAAATAATTAGGGAAAACTGTAAAAACGTGACTATCAAAGTTACTGAGCGGCGTGGCGGAGTGGTTGTTTTGTGTGCAGGCAGGTATGCAGATGTGCGTGCTCTATTTTTAAAATCCTCCAGGTACTTTAGCTTTGATGTAAATGAGAGTTTTTATTTACAAAGCCAAGAACCCCTTTTTGGCTCTAGCTCGCGTGTTTCACAGACAATGCGCTTGCTTTGTTCCCTGGTAATATTCTTAAATGCTGAGTGCGTCCGGAGAAAATGACAAAACTTTTAACTGGAAGTGTCTTTTCTTGTAAAAACACTCTGTAATGAGCGTCATCTCAAGATACTGAAAAACGTATCTGGAATGAACAGCTCTAAAAAGCATTTCCGATGCAATATTTCCATTATTTTATTTTCTTTCATTAAGTATATTCAATATAGATGAAACGTGGGAGAAGGTTTCTAACTCGATTTTTTTACAATCAATCTGAACTGAAATTATCTTAGTAGTTGACTGTTTTCGAGTTATATGCGAGTTTGAAAAACCCAAAAGATAAAAATGATTATTTTTCTGTGACGGGAAAAAAGTTTGACCTTTTATCTCTGTTGACAGGTAACAAAATATTACTTTTTATGAAATTACTTCTTTCCCCGGAAAAGAATGAGTACTTTTTTCCCGGATATTGTTTCGTAAATTTTCCGCGATTTAGATGGCAATAATTTTTGTGACGTTACTTTGGCTACTTCTACTAATTCCAGTGGAGTCAAAGAAAACTAGGAATCAAACATTTTTTAATTCATAGTATTAAAAATAACTTCTAAAGAACCACTAAGTTAACAATTTTTAAACCAAACAACAAAATTAAATTGACAGCTATTTGGTTACATTAAAAGTTTCCTTAGCAATGCAGGCCTAATTGTCGCTATAAGTACAACATAGCCTACTTATTTCAAAATTCAAACTTCAAATCGATAATTTTCTGACTTGTAATAATATAATTTCTCAATATTAAATCGTCGTTTTTCCCGTCACAGAAAAAAATTGTGTATTATACATGGGAAAAATACTAGATTTTAGCTTTTGGTTTTTTGTCTCTCTATTACTTTTTTCCTAGTATAATAAATATCTATTTTTGGGGCTGTCAGGTTTCTAAATAATTAAACTTCAAACCTTCCCCAAGCAGACCCCGAAGCTTATCTTATTTAAAGGCATTGTTGGTTAATTCTTAATAACGCGATGTGGGCCACGTGCGCATTCCTCTAGCATCTAGCATATACGTATATGTACCTCAGGACAGTCCAAATAAGTAATTTTGAGATAATTGCGCTTGAAATATTTTTATTGCATTTTTGCCTGATACCTTTCGCTCAAATTGCATGAAGTTTAAATTTAATACTTTTTTTATTTAGTACTTTGGGTTATTTTCCAGACTTTATGAATCTTTTTTTAATCAATTACATTCAGGTTGTTTTTACTTCCTATGACGATGGGCGAGGAAGTATTGTAATCGTGAAACGATATATTATGAATTTTGGATGTTATATGGCATGTACATCACGAAAAACCATGACACTAATTCCCGTCCATCTGTCCGCTAATCCTTGGACCGCCTATAACTTGGAAGTACCGCTAGGATTTGGACGAAAAATTCACATTAGGGCAAAACAAACTATGGATGAAGAAACTGTAGTTTTTGAAAATCCCGGTGGAGGCGGATCTAGGGACAAAAGTATGACATTTTTTTTGACAGTCCAAAGGCTCCTGATCATTGGCAGAAACATTTTTTTGGGGTTGCGGGTTGTAGGGGGTGGGGAGGGCATACGAAAAATTGTTGATCTTAGTATATCTATACGCTCCCAGTAATATGCAACCTATTAGCCATATTTCACACATCATAGATTTCCCCGTACATTTGCCTTTAAAACAGAAATATCGAAAAATGTGTTCAATCCGCTTTGTCCAGCTGAGTAATCTATCCGTACTTACTCTCTGCAGCGGGGCCACGATGCGCGCTGCCGCGCGGATGTGGGAAAAGACAACGTTGCCAGATTGACAGTAACTACCGGTAGGACAGGTAAAGAATGTCTATGGATTAATTGTATGAGCCTGTTTGACTGACCTAATCCGTTCTGTTGTCTATGTTCGTAACTGAATTTTTTCTCAGAGGATTTAAATTGCGCTGAACTTAATCCTCTATGAAAGTTCAAAGTCAACCTTCTTGACGGAATTTTTTTTAAAGTTAACGAAAAAAAATATCAAAATTGGATCGAACATAAGTGCAGGAAGCATAAATATAGACTGAAGGGAAAACAAGAAGATTTTTTTTCAAAAAGCAAACTTGTTTCTGGAATACACGCACCATCAAACAAAGAAAGATGCGACATATTTATCGAAGTAGTAACCAAAATCCTCATCTTGTAATAAATAATGATAGTAGTCGTGGAACATAGAATCTACGGTAGCAATTTTGTGTGTGCTGAGGCACTAAATTACTGAAGGATGACATCCGAGATCTTCTTTCTGAAAAAAGGAAGCTGAGGCTACTTTACAAGGTGCATCAAAATTACATGTCATATGTTTTCGCCCAGCACTAACAAATGTTTTCTCTCGCTTTCTATGACTACTGAATGGTCACCGTCAGCTTCAAGCTAAGCAAGCGAAACTTATCTGTGATTGTTTATTGACTTCCCGATTTAAACTAAATAATTGTAATAACTTGTGCACTCCTGACTTGGAAAGGATAATCATAGGACTAGATTTCCAATTACCTGATTACGAAAACTATGATTCAGGCTATTTGAGCAAACAAAATCCAACTTCGTTATCCCGCAGACCCGCACTGGCCATTTGATTCGTGAATGACCATGATCGACTTCAGCGATAATTCCCTAAAGTTACAATGTGCTTGCCGAGAAGTTAGGGAAGATGTTTATTATCCAGATGTTTGTTTTTTAACCCCTACATTTTTTTTTCTGAAAACGATTGGGATCCATTCAACGTTAAAAATCGAAGTATGAGCGATTTCTACTTTTTCGTTTTTTGCTTCCAGTTCCGCCGCCACTGGACTGATTTTGAAAAACTATAAAGCTTTTTCGTTCTTGACATAGTAGTGAAAATTCCATTAAAATCCGAGAGGTGCTTTCCAAGTTATAGTCGGGCCAATGATTAGAGGAGTGACATGTTTTCTGATTATAATTTTAGCTCTTTTTCATGTCTTATGATGACTGTATCACAAAAAT